TTAGTACAGCATGCATACAATTATGTCAATTAGAATTATTAATAATATTAATAAGAAATTACATTAATCATTCATTTATATACATTACTATTCATATTACTAAAATATAATGTTATATTAATAATTTCTTATGTATAATGTTTGAATATTTGGTTTAATTATTTTGGTCTAGTATATGGTCGAAATATATAATTAGGGCTGTCAGTTGATTAAAATTTTTAATCTAATTAATTACATGGTGCAGCGATTAATTAATCGAATTAATCACAAACTAAATTTGGCTGTGAAAATACCCACAAAAAATATTTAAAGCTATTATTGTGTTAAATGAGAAAGTATCAAGTAGACATTACAAAAACTAGCTTTAGAAAGAAATATTTTATTTAATTCAACATTCGGCTCGATTTGAGAAAGGGGAAAACATTTAACGAGATTAAAAAAAAAAACACTGGGTGGATTTTTATCATTATAGGGTGGTTGTGTACACACACTGCCAACACACATTTCAGTTCAAACAACTTGTTAAAGTGCATGTAGCATCCTATGACCCCTTTACAACACTTTGGCCAACTAATTTACATATGCAATTCTAAATTTTCCATTACACCAAAACTGAAAGACAGCAGCAGTAGAATGAGATGCTACTGGTGTAAAACAGTTGTGCAACATAACCGACAGCCTATAAAGAGACATTAACACTGACAGCCATTTGTAGCGACAAAGCAACCAAAGGCCATTTATTTTCAGTTAGATTTGGTGATTTAAGATGACACGAGTGACAAAGACCAGAATGCATCAGTCATCACCCGCTTTTTCAGTGTCATTTTTGCTGTGTTTCTGTATTTTTTTTTTCAAATTAATTTTCTTCATTTTAAAAACATTTTCAATAGAGTCCCAAGCCATGAATCACAATATTAAAACTTTGTTTGGAAGCAACAGTGTTTTTGAATAAGCTCCTACTAATGCTACTACAGATTTAATTTTTAGAAATGTATTAGTTTTAGTTTTATTAGTTTTTGTTGCT